AAGACCCCGGGTTTAGTCCTGATCTGAGCCTTTCCTTGGTCATCGCACTCGGAAGCATTTCTACCATTTTTCTCGTGATTTTAATTATTCTCGCTGTGAAGGTTCATAAAAACAGGAATCCACAGCGTGGTCAGCACTATTCTCTGGGAGTTTGTTGCTGCCTTGAAACCGGCCATTCACTGAATGGAATTCAAAAGGCCAGTAGAAACCTTCAGATTCCTTCAAATTACGTTGAGGTATTCGGTGGTGACCCACTTTCTCAGATTTTCCGTTATGAGTCGTGTTCAACATTGCAGTCAACAAGGAGAGACTTCATAACCCCCAACAGATACAAGTCACCCACAGACAAAACGTATGCCCAGAATGATTATGTTGAGAAACAGGATTCAGTGTTGCTGCATACTGAGAAGTTCAGCAACACTTTGAACAATAAGGTGAGACCATTCGAAAATGGGAATAAGCTCCTTGCAGCTTTAATTTTTCTTTTATTCTTTGAAGCAATGTGAGCATCACTGTTTGGCCAACACTTTTGTCTGGCCCCAGTTGTCCTGAAGAAGGTGGTTTCTAGATGCCTTCCCAAACTGATATCTTCCATTGGCTTTGATACATTCAGACTGCATTTAGGAAGGGAATGACATGATTTGACTCCACGACAGTTTTGAAACCATGCTATACATCTATGTCAGGACAGTCTATGCCTTGTACAGTTGTTTTTTTGTTTGTGTCTACTATTCTTGCCCTTGTATGTGCTATTAGTCATGTGTTTGCAATGAATATCACAGAAGCCTTGCTGTGTTGCTGCAGTGCATTTTGCAGATGATACACACTACTGCCTCTGCACATTGACGGTAGAGAAAGTAGATATTGAAGACATTACGTGGTGTTCCAGTTAAACAGCCTGCTTGGTTCTGTACGGCATTAAATATCTTGATTGTTGTTGGCTATGCATACCTCCAGGTAAACAGTGCTCATTCCATCACACTCGTAATCTGTACTTTAAAATTTCCAAACTGGTCTGAGGAGTCAGGTGGTGAAATACTTGTCGAGAATCATTGGTTCTGATCTTCACTTGTGGTCACCATACTTGTCTAATTGTCGTTGTCACTTCTCTCAGTTGGCATGATAGCAGGTTTTAAATGCAAGGTAACGTCAACAGGCATTCCACACCTGCATTTGTGACGTTACCAAGGAAGGAATCTCCTTCTTAATCTCTCACTCACCTGAGGTGTGGTGATCCTTAGGTTGAACTGTGGCCACTCATCCCTACCATTTGAGAGAGCAGTTCTAAGGATCAGTAGCACCTTGGCAACTTTATTCTTCACCATTTCAATTTCTGGCCGATTGGTAAAGAACAAGAGGTTGATGCTTGGATGTGTAAAACTTTGGGTAAATGTCTCATTACAAATCTGATAATAAGACTGTTTATTTAATACACAAACATACATATTTAGTTTCCTGCGTAATAAACATTTCTTCTCAAAATTCCTGATTTACTGCGCTGTGGTGGTGTCTCCAGGATTTGTTTATTTTTATTCAGTCCTGGGACATGAGTGTCACTGGCTGGGCAGCATTTATTGCCCCTCCGTGTTGCCCTTCCGAGGGTGATAACAAGCTGCCCCCTTGAACCACTGCAGCCCGTTTGATGTACGTTGACCCACAATGCCATTATGGAGGAATTCCAGGATCTTGCTCCAGCGATGGCAATATCTTTTTCCAAACCAGGATGATGAGTGGCTTGGAGAGGAACTTTTCGGTGGTGTTGTTCCCATGTATCTGCTGTCCTTATACTTCTACATGGAATAGATCATGGAATTCGAATATCTTGTCTGGGATCTTTAGTGAATTTCTTCAGAGCATATTATCGAGAGTGCACACTACTGCTGCTGAGCATTGGTGGTGGAAGGAGTAGATACTTGTGGATATGGTGCCAATAAAGTGGACTGCTTTGTCCTGTACGGTGTCAAGATTTTTGAATGTTGTTAGGGTAGCAACCATCCAGGCGAGTGTGGAATAGTCTGTGACACTCCTGAATCGTGCCTTGTAGATGGTGGACAGACTTTGGGGAGTCACGAAGTGAATTATTTCCTTGCATCTAACCTACTCTTTTTACAAACTACAATTTAAAATTACCTTGCTATAACAAGGATATTACTAAGTTAGAGAGGATTCAACTGATATTTACAAGGATGTTGCCAGGAATGAAGAGTTTGAGTTATTAGGAGAAGCTGGATCAGCGGGGCCCTTTTTCCACAGGACCGTGGGAGGTTGAGAGTGACATTTCAGAAGCTTATAAAATCATGAAGGGTCTAGATAAGGTGAATAGAAGGTGTATTTTCAAGAGGGTGAGAGTTTTAAAGGATGGGGGCATATTTTTAAGGTGCGTGAGAAAAGATTTTAAAAATTTATTCGGGGCCTTTTTTAACATAGAGTGGTTCATGTGTGAAATGAACTTCCAGAGGAAGTGGTGAATGCGGGTACAGTTACAATGTTTAAAAGGCATTTAAATAAGTGCACGAATAAGGCATGTTTGGGGGTATATGGGTCATACGTAGGCAGGTGGACCTAGTTTAGTTTGGTATTATGGTCGGTATGGAATGGTTGAAGGGAAGGGTCTGTTTCAGTGCTGTATGACTCTATGACTCTACTGTGATTAAATGTAATTCCAGTACGTTGTGAAGTCGTGTTTAGCAATTTCTCTAACGTCCATATCATTTTAGGATTCTTTTAAAATTCATAGTCATTTATCTATAAGCATTGAAAGTGTGGACACTACAAAGAACAGCAGCAAGCCATTTGATCCACCAAGACTGTACCAACACATAAGGCCTTGCTAAACTAAAAAAAAACTTTTGCCTCTACGTGGTTTGTATCCTGCTGTACTCTGCCTACTCATATATCTGTCAAGATGCTTCTTAAACTTTGTTGTTGTATCCACTGCTACCACCTTAACTAATAGCGCAGCCCAGGCACTTACCATCCATTGTGTGGAAAACCAGTTTCTCACATCTCCTTTGAACTTACTCCTCTAACTTAAACCTATGTTCCCTAGTAATTGACATTTCTACTGTGGAGAACAAACTCTGACTATCCATTCTCTCCCTGCCTCAACCATTACTTACACTCTCTAATCATTTGTATTTTAACTGTGGCAAAGACATCTCGACTTAGATGTACCCACACAAGTACAGAGTGTGGCCATTGACAGCAGGATTGCAGTCCCAAACAGAGTCTGTAAAGTAGTTATGTAAAGACTGGATTTGAAATAGACCCAAAGAAATAAGATTTGAACTTGCTGAGGGCTCTGACAGAAATTCCTATCCCTGCCATTGTTTCCAGAAAAAAAGTCAAGCAGAATCAATGCATCATCTTGATAGTTTTGGAACTCTCCTATACATACAAATACATTATCTTGTGTCTGTATAAATGCAATTGCAAGCTTACATTGAAGCAATTAATGGCTCATGCATTACTTTAAGTCATTTCTTCAAAACATGGTCGTCTATTATAGAATGCAGTAAACAGTAAATCCCACTATTGCATGCATGGTGAGCATTAGTATGAATTGAGAGGCTACATCGTGTATTTTCATATTGTTTAGAATACAAACTCGACCAGGCCTGTTTTCTCACCCTGTACACAACCTCTACACTTTCTCTACTGCCATCTATTCCCCAACCCGTCAAGAATACAAAACCAGTCCTAATGCACCTTGCAGTTGACACTGAAATTATATTTAAGTAAAATCAAAATGTGTGAGAGCAACTTAGGAGATCTAGTTGCAGCTGAGGAGAGAGAAAAGCAGAGTTCATGCTTTGAGTCCAATGTAACTCTCTGTTGAACGTTCCACAAAAACTTAAAACATTAATTCTGTTTCTGTTTCTGAAGTTTTCCAATATATTTTGCTTTTAATTCAGATCTCCAGCAACCACAATATTTTACCTTTTATTTTATGGTAATAATACTTCTCAGACTTTTCTTAACCTCAAGTGATCCTGTTAGTGTGTCATAGAATGTTGCTACTGTAGACGAGTAAGTAATAAGTACTAACTGTTCACAAGTTGATGGTTAATTTCAGTTAGGCATATTTAAATGCTGAAGCACAAGAAAATTACTGGTTACCATAATAAGTAGGGTCTAAAGAAATATGCTTAGTAGAAGGAGGAGGTAATACTGATCTGGTTATTCACTATGAAACATCTCACAAGTAACATTTTAGGAAAGGGAACGAAAGTTATGACCGAAATAAAAGGATCTTAATTTTAATTGCACAACCATAAATGTTAACTAAAAATATCTGCCAAGTCATTCCAGCTTTAAGAAGTCGTCTGTACGGTGATTGGTTGAACGTGAGAGATCCCTACTGACCAATCACAAAACTGAAATGTAAGTGGAGATCTTGACTGCCCCCTTGTCTGCTCATACACAATCAGATACAGTGGAGAATGGAATGGCGAGCTACGGAGCATTTGTGAGGTTTGTGCGGTTATTGAGATTTTTCAGAAAAAAAGGGAATGTTTGTCTGGAAGAATATCAGTGAAGTGGAAAAATTGAACGTATTTTATGCACGGTAACGTCGCTTCTCCAAGAAAATGATACATGAAGACCTCGATTTTAAACACTGAATTAACAGCGGCGTACAGCACTGAAGCAATTGGAATGCTTTGTACTGGCGATGGGATGTTATCAAATATATTGGTGGTTAACTTGGCAACTGGTGTATTGTCTATCCCTATTCTGGGCTATGGTTTCTGGACAGATTCGTTTTTCGATTCCCGAGGAGCTACAACCAGGCGCCTTTGTTGGAAATATTGCAGATGATCTGGGAATACGTGCAAAGCAGCTCACGGCTCGCAATTTTCGTGTTGTGTCTGGTCCCCGGAAGCAGTACTTGGAGGTAAACTTAAACAATGGGAATTTGTTTGTGAAAGAAAAAATTGACAGGGAAAAGCTCTGTGGATCAGGCCTCACTTGCACGTTGTCTTTGGAGGCGGTGATCGAGAATCCCTTGACTGTGTATCACCTTGAAGTGGAGATTCTTGATGTAAACGACAATGCTCCCAGTTTTCCGAACAGCCAGTTTCGCCTTAAAATCTCCGAGCTTGCCGCACCGGGAGCGCGCTTTGCCCTGGAGTACGCGCGCGATCCGGACGTTGGAACTAATTCCCTGCAAACGTACCAGCTGGTTGCTAACGAATATTTCGTATTGAATGTTGATTCGCGAGGCGGGGACGTCAAGTTGCCAGTGTTAGTGCTGGAACGGGCCTTGGATAGAGAAATACAATCGACCCATCGGTTAGAACTAATTGCCAAGGACGGCGGGGTTCCTCCCAAATCAGGTACTGCTGAAATTATAATTGTCGTGCAGGATGAGAATGACAACGCACCCATCTTCCCAAATTCAGTTTACAAAATTAGTCTGTTAGAAAACTCACCT